CTGTATGACTGAATTCTGGCCCTGACACGGAGTGGCAGAAATACAAAGTATTTCCAGGCACCGTCCTCCACATACTCTTCAATAATTGATCAGCTGGTGCAAAGAGTCCAGCAAAGTATTCTTTGTCATCAGTAGAAATCACTTCACACTTAGTACAGATATCTCAAAATAATGTTTATGCTTTACTACTTTGAAATTACAATGATTATTAGACCTAGCAGATTAGATTGGATTTTGTCATTTAATAAGGAATTACATCTGTAACCCCAAATTTGTAAATCCTTTGATAACTGTATTCCAATATAATCTGTTTTTATGCATTTATGCATTTTCTGTTATGGTTTTAAAACATCATTTTGAGAAAAAGTCCATATGCTTCACCAGACTGCCAAATGAGTCCATGGCACAGAAGAGATTAGGAACTCTGGATTTAATGGAAAGAGACAGGGTCTGTAAATGAATATAGGAGCAGAGTCCCTTCTTCCCACTTCATCAACGCACACTGAAATGACTTGAGCAAGAAATAAACTTTTATTGTGTTGAAAATGAAAAAAAGCATGAGAAAAAAACATGAATTTTATTCAAATGCTCTTGTAGAAAGGACATTAGTTTATTCTGAATGTTTTATTAGCTTTCTGTTATTCAAAATCAGTTTCAGTGGTCTTTGCTAGTTATCCCCTGGGGTCAAAAGAAGCACTAACCTGTGTTTAATTTCTGTGGTTGGGCATACTAGACCAAAGTGAACATTTCTGTCTCACATTTGTTCTAATTCCCACTTTAAAGGGCAAATTTGGTTCAAAGTGCCCTTCCCCAAGGGGACCATGCAGATTTCAGATACAAGTAAATACATTTCTGTACATTTTAGTACATTTCTAATAATCTGTCACAAAAAATAACTCATGGGATTATGACATAATGTATAATCATGGGATTTACTGCTGAAGGGGACCTTAGCAGTGTCTAATCAACTGTCCTCATCTTCATAAGAGTAAACTAAGGACCAGAAAAGTGTGAATTTACATAGGGTCAAATTTACCCATGGTTGCCCGGGCGTGGTGGCTCGCGCCTGTGATCCTAGCACTCTGGGAGGCCGAGGCGGGCGCATTGCTCGAGGTCAGGGGTTTGAAACCAGCCTGAGCAAGAACGAGACCCCGTCTCTACTATAAATAGAAAGAAATTAATTGGCCAACTAATATATAGAGAAAAAATTAGCCGGGCATGGTTGGCGCATGCCTATAGTCCCAGCTACTCGGGAGGCTGAGGCAGGAGGATTGCTTGAGCCCAGGAGTTTGAGGTTGCTGTGAGCTAGGCTGACGCCACAGCACTCACTCTAGCCTGGGCAAAAAAAAAAAAAAAAAAAAAAATTTATCCATGGTCACATAACCAGGGTGACAGTCTAGGCTAAAACCACACAGTTTCCACACGTGATAAAAACATGCATTGTACCAATTCTAGTCTTACACAGTCTTCCATCTTCTTCCTGTGACAGCAGGTGTCAGTGCTTCTGTCTGTGGTTTAATCCTCCCCCTGTTTGTGCACTTTGTATCCCATCTCCTGGTCTCCTCCTCAGTCTACATTCCTCTCTGCCTCTTCACATCCAGACTTCTAGAAAGAGAAACACATTGTCTCTCCTTTAATCTCTTTTCCATTCCTTAACCCTCAACCAGTGCCAAGCATTTCTCTTAAACTGCTCTTCTCAAAGTCACTAGTTCAATTTCACTGAACACGATGGACCTTTTCTCCATGTTTTCTTTTACCATTCTGCAATATACAACACTGTTTACCACATTCTCCCAATTGAACTGCTGTCCTCCCTCTCAGCTTCTGTGATACCACAAGCCCCTGAACTTCCTCTTGTCTGGTTGCTCTTTCTCCTTATCTTTTGTCCATACCTGTAAGTGTCAATGGATGTTTCTCAAAACTCAGCCCTAACTTCTCTCCTTTTGCACTGCTGGTTCTGTCATAACCTGATCCACTCCTGGAGCTCTCAAACCCTCCTGTGTACTGTTGACTCACAAATCTCTGCAACACAGCCCTTTCACCTGGATTTCACCCCCAGCTGGCAGCTATATCTGAATATCCTACAGACCGTTCAAACTCAGCATGTTTCTTTTGTGTCTCAACTCGGAGATTCACTGAATTTTTTCCATGACCCTATTACTACCATCATCTTATACTCCTTTACTGTAAAGCCTTCTAACTGATTTTGTGTCCCCAACCTCAGCCCCTCCCTCACTGTTGTCAAAGTGATCTTTTTAACATAAAAAGCTGTTCGTGTTCACTTCTCTTTTCAAAACCCATCAGAGGTTCCACTGTCCTCAGGATAAGTCCACCTTAGCACTGCATGAAAGGTGCTTTTTCGGTCTGGCCCTGCTTACCTCTCCGGCCTCACCACTTGACCCAGTATCACCCAGTCCTTTTAGCTTTCTGAAAGAAACTTGCCCTTCTCTTTTGCCTCCCAGGATTTTCCTGTGCTTTTTCTCCTACCTGCCCTTCTCCTCACCACATCTTCCACTCCGCTCTCCCCTTAACTCCTGCATAGATAATTTCTTTGAATCTCAGATCTCAAATCTCATGATGGGGTTGAGGAGCCTTTCCTCTCCGCTTCCAGAAACACTCCCTATTGCAGATAGCACTTCTCATAGTGCATCTCCCAGTAGATGTTGAGCTGCATGAGAGTCACAGCTGTGTCTTACTGTGGTGTCCCCAGGAACTAGCACCTGCAGGTTTCTTTAATGGATGAATTGATGTGCCCTGTTTGGTTTTAATGAAAACATTTTACTTTCTTTACTACAGGAGAACTCAAGCTAGGACACAGCTAGTCTTTGGGATCTTATCATAGTTCTACCTTATGGGTGAGATTCCAGCCTTCTGAAAAACTAAATAATTATATAAACTTCCTTGGACCTGTGAAATACATAGAATATTCATTTTCTAATGTAGTGAGTTTTTGTAAAGAAAAAAAGATTTTCCAAAGTTTTAAATGTGTGAAAAAAACCTTACCTTTAGTAATTCTGTGAAAATTCCTAGGAAACTTTTCTGAATTCCCTAACATTTTTTCTTGTAAAGCCCAGGAAAAGATTTTGTTTTCCTTTTTTCCTATGGGTATGTATAAATTTCTTTACCTCATGCATCCAGTTACAGTGACTTCAAATCAATTAAAATGAATAAATGAGAAACAACAAAAAAATGACCTTATGATACAAATATATTTGTACTTAAATTTTACCTAAGAACTGTTGGTTCTTAAACCTCAGAAGACAAAGAAATGTATAGGGTGGGCAAATTGTGAATGTAAAACATTATTTTTCCTTTTTTGTTTTTAGATGTAATGCTTAAAATTCCAATTAACATGGTGGTTATGTATCCCACCACTGATACAGATTGCTTTTAAATCTACCTTTGTACTTATATGTAGAAGGACATAGAATTTTAATGTTTATAGATACTGACAGTGATTTGAGAGAAAGAGTAATATGCTTACAACCTCTCTGACACTACCTAGTCCATATATTCTTTGGATATTCTCTTACACCTTATTGCTGAACAGCCACTTTGTAAGTCAAGCCTGAATGCACTGTTGAGTGTCTTTTCCTCTGTTTGGCCCCATTCTGGTCTGTATCAGCCTGTCATCTCTCCTTCCCATAAGGTTTCTACTTAGGGATAAACTTGTGATAATTATCTTCATTTCTCCTACGTCTCTATCCTTTACTTAATCATCAGGGGTATGTGATGAGCACTGCTTTGCTCAGAGAACTTATGCTTTTCAAGCCTTCTTGATGTTTGTTACAGCATCAGAAAGACTAGTCAAACCTAATAGGATCTCATCTAGATTTTCCTGTTCTTGGTATGCTTCTAGTCTCTCTGGCCACTAAGCCTGTTTTGGAGCTTTGGTGTTTGAAACCATTTTTCTATTTGAAGTCCTTGGCAACAGTTGGGAACTGAGTATCCCGTTCACTTTTCAGTTCTTCTTTTAATTTATTACTCTTGGTCTGTATTTATAACTGCATAATTGAAATACAACATAGTTAAATTGAGTAAAATGCATTTTTTATAATTCTAATCAGTAAAATCAGAACCTAGTTTGGGGGTTATGGAGTAGTAGGAATCTTACAAATAAAGGTTTGGTAGAGTTTATATTTTAAGCATGATTAACCATGAAAGAGAAATAGATCTCAGTTGTTTTATTCTGGATTTCTCAGTAAGACATACAACTCTCTTTGAAATTCATGGGAGCCAAACATAGAAATATTAGCAGGTCTTTAATTTTTTTCTGATATTGAGACTGTTGTAGTAAAAGGAAGAATACTGATAATGTGATTAATATGTCATAATATCATAACTATTGAAAAATAGACCCTTCTCATCTATTGCTACTTACCATAATGAACATACAAATCCATTAAGTTGGCAAGCAGAGCATTAAGAGTGAACTTGTGAATACTCATAATGTGTCTGTAGCAAGGTGAACCTTTTTATTATTTTTTTATTTTTAATGAAGTTGAATATTTTATTATTTTGCTGCAAAGCTGTTGCTCACTGTATAAAAATAGCACCAGCAAATGCAGTATATGCAAAATTAAGATAATATTGTTTCATTTGATACTGTACAACCAAGAAAAAACTTCAACACTCCCCATCATTCCAATGGAAAGACCATTAAGTATTTCAGCCCAAATCCTGGTATGGATGTAAGCAAGTTACAGTATTATATAAGGCTTAAGATAACAATGTTACCCTTGAATTACATGATTTTTATAACTGGTTTTCAACCATGGATAATTGTGAATTCTGAACACTAGAGCCTAGTCTAAAAATCAGAGAGTATTGTGAAAAAGATGCATATTTTGTTTATCTAAATCATTAGAAAGTTAAGGAGTATTTTCTTCCATTAGCAGGTTTGAGAGTAGTTGCTATTTTAAGTCATCTGTCCACCACTAATTTAAGACAACTATGCTTGGTTAAGTTATTTCACACTAGTTTATTTAGGGGTTCCATTTTCACTCAATAGATTTTACGTATTTCTCATATGCTTCTTCACTCATTAGTTCATCTAGTTCTGAAGGATTACTCAGTGTCATCTTGATCAGCCAACCATCTTCATAACAAGATTTGTTAACAAGTCCAGGGTTTTCTGTCAGAGCTCCATTAATTTCAGTTACTTCTCCTGATAAAGGAGAATAGAGTTCACTAGCAGCTTTCACACTTTCCAAAGCACCAAACTCCTCTTGTTTGTTTAATTTTGTCCCAACTTCGGGCAGACTACAGTAAACAACATCTCCCAAAGATTCCTGTGCAAAATTGCTGATTCCCACTGTTCCAACACCATTTTCTGTTGTTACCCATTCATGTTTCTCTGTAAATTTACGCACTGAGAGCAGAGCGGGTCCCGTACGCAGCGTCCGGACGGCGCCCGCAGCCAGCCGCCCATTTTATTTTTTTAGAGATGGCTTCTTACTCTTGTCACATAGGCTGGAGTGCAGTGGCACAATCATAGCTCACTGCAGCCTAGAATTTCTGGGCTCAAGTAACCTCCCACCTCAGTCTCCTGAGTAGCTAGGGCTATAGGCATGAAGCACCATACCAAGCCAATTATTTTTTGTAGAGACAGGGTCTTGCTATGTTGCCCAGGCTGGTCTCACACTCCTGAGCTCAAGTGATTCTCCTGCCTCAGCCTCCTGAATAACTGAGATTACAGGCATGAGCTACTGTGCCTGGCCCCAAGTTGAACCTTTTTACACAGAGAAGTTAAAAGCATAAATTGACCTGTCATCTGCCATTTGAATAAGTTTCTAAATTTAAAATTAAAGGAGTCACTTAGTCTGTGGCTACATACTGGGGTTTAGAAATGGGCTACTACCAATCCAGGCAAAAGCAGGGAATACCAAGGATTCCTTTTTTAGTCACTATATGAGCTATAATCTATTTTATAATAATGTTTAATGGTATAAAGTGTTTAAAGCTCATTTGCCTCTTCTGCCCCTTTCCATATTGTTTTCTGTGTTGCCTGAGTGATCCAGCAAGCAAATTTGCTTTGTAAAGTTAATTTTTATTCCTTTATCCAACATTTATCAATATCAGTTTGCCTTTCTGCCTGCTGATAAGCAGTAGGATTACCACCTGTTTCTGAGGTTTTTGGTATTGCCATTGTTACTGAAACTTAAGAAATATAGTTGGTGTTTTGATAACCTGTAGGTATATTCTTAACATTGATAGTGCTTCTATGGGCGTAGACATTGAATATAAGATACCCTAAGATTTATGAAATTGGCATCTGGTCGGGCTTAGTCCCAGCTACTCAGAAAGCTGAGACAAGAGGATGACTTGATTCTAGAAGTTCAAGGCCAACCTGGGCAATATAGCAGGACCTCATCTCAAAAAAACAAAAATTAAAAATAAATAAATAAGTTTTTAAAAACAGAAATTGGCAGTAGAACACCACTAAAAGATACTGACTTACAATTTAAATTTTATGAATCTAAGTGGTTTGATTTTTAATTTTACTATGTTCACTCAGTGTTTAATAAACTATTCTTTGTGACTTCTATGTATTATAAAAACTGTCATCTGAGTTGCTGCTACCCACATCATATATACAACAAGAAAAAGCAAATTGAGTTTGTACCAACATTTTAACTGATGAGTCCCAGAGTTTAGTATTTCAGTTGTAGTGTTGATTTAACTCTGGAAGCTTGAGTTAAATTCCTTATTGTTTCTTTTATTGAAAATATTCTCTATTTAACATTCTGCTGAACTAAAGAGATGTGATTATTAACTAAATTATCATTTTAAAAATTTACATTGTGAATACTTAGCATGCTCTGGTCATAAACAGTATAATTGTGTTTGCAGTGAATAAATTGTTAGCCTAAAATAGAAAGAACTCTTATAAGAATTAGGACAGAATTCCTCTTGATGTTTTGCAAATCCTTAGCCAGCTGTGAATATATGACTAAATACTATTACACTTCACAGAAAAAGCAATTTATCATGTGCTAATGCATTTTTAGGAGCTTTTGTATGATTCCTTTTGGAATGGAAAAATGCAACTTGTGGAAGTAGATAATTTCACAAAGTAATAGCTAAATGTGCACTACATGTGTGTTTAGGGGGGGTATTTTAAAAAATAATTTGAAACCACTACCTTCACCAACTTTGTTTTATTATTTACCATCATTTCTCACCATCAGGCATTTTGTATATATATAATAAATATGTATATGTGTGTGTGTTTATTTGCTTACTATTATCTTTCCTTCACTAGAAATGAAGAACTTTGGATTTGTTCACTGCTAAAAGCACAGCACACAGAACAGTGCCCAACACATGAAAGGGTCTTAGAATATATTTGTTGAATACGTGAATAAATGAACAAGTAAATTAATTTTATTTTTTATCTTTTTTCTTTTTACTAACCATATTTTAGGATTTCTTCCTATTATTAAGGAGTGAAATATCCTTTTTAAGAAGAAATCGTGGTACAGCAAAGTATAGGTTTGCATTTAAATGTAAATCAAATCTGATGAAGATGTTTTAGTAACTCCATGTTTGTTAAAGAAGATTGTAAGTGACAGGTTTTTTGCTTTGTTTTTTCTTTTCTTTTCTTTTTCTGTTTCTTTTCTTTTCTTTGAAAACAGGGCCTCACTTAGAGTACAGTGGTGTCATCATAGCTCACCATAACCTCAAACTCCTGGGCTCAAACAATTCTTTTGCTTCAACCTCTGAGTAACTGGGACGACAGGCATATGCTACCTGGCTTTTTATTGTGTTGTGTTGTTTTGTTTTTGGCAGAGATGAGGTCTCACTGTCTTTCTATTGTCCAGGCTGATCTCAAACAACTGGCCTCAAGAGTGCCTCCCACCTGGGCCTCCCAAAGTGCTAGGATTACAGGTGTGAGTCACCATGCCCGGCCCTGCCTGTTCTTAGATTCTATACTGATCCACCAATTTGGAGGTCTTGGTTTTTTTCTGGGAGGAGGGGAGATTATAAGGACCAAAGCCTTTTAATATACTTTATTCTTTTAAATTCACAAAGATAGCACTCCTGATGAAAAAGTCCCCTTGAAACTGGAGAATGTTTATCATCTAATGTAAGGAAAATTGTAGGTAGCATGTATATATCCATGAGTAGTACAGTTGGACATGGTACAAAAATTTCACCACTACAACTCCATGTGGAACAGGACATTCCCCTGGCAGGTAGTTGGACTCAGAAGTGAGGATGAGTGACTGACTTGCTAGGGACAAACGCCTCTGAATTTTCTGGTGAAGGGTAGTTAGAGGATGTCATGCATTCCTGCAAAACAGCGTGATTAATGTCCTCGTTCTTTATTTTGTTAGCTAGCAGTTCGCTAGTTATATGTACTAATTTTTCAGAAACATATGTGAAGCTAATGTTCTCTGCTTTGGGGTCCATTGAGTAAAATGAGAATCTTATAATTAGATAATTTTCAATCATTTTTGCCTCTACCCTGCAGCCCTGCCCAGCTTCAGATGGTTGTTGTTGAACAGCTTCTCTCCTTTTATGTATATTATACAATACATTTCATCTAAACAAAATTAGATTATATATTCATCATGGCTTAAACTGAAGTAGGATAAAAATGTTCAATTCTGCCATCTTTTAAAAATATAATAGTAAATTACAAATCTATCCTACCACATTTTAGTGGACCCAAACAGCTATATTTTACCCCTACTTTGTTTTCTGTATCTTTTCTTCCTTTTATCTCTTCCTTTTTCTCTTCCTTTCTTTTCTTTGCTATTTTCCTATATATATAGCTGCAAGACTTGATGAAGGGATAAATGGTCAAAATTCAGGAATGCTGGAGTAACTGTTGCCTAGTCAATCCCAATTCTTTCTCAGGTCTCTTCTCAAACCTTATCATTCTTACCAGTTTCTATTCTGTATTGATCTTCATTGGCAGACATTTGATGGGCAAGTATGATAAGGAAAGGAGGGACTTTGGGACTGCAATATTAAGAAGTGGTTTTTAGGCCAGGCATGGTGGCTCCCGCCTGTAATCTTAGCACTCTGATAGGCAGAAGTGGGAGGATCGCTTGAGGTTAGGAGTTCGAGACCAGCCTGAGCAAGAATGAGACCCCATCTCTACAAAAAAGTAGAAAAATTAGCTGGGTGTGATGGCACACACCTGTAGTTACACCTACTGGGGAGGCTGAGGCAGGAGGATCGCTTGAGCCCAGGAGTTTAAGGTTGCAGTGAGCTATGATGACATGATGATACCACTGCACTCTAGCTGGAGCAACAGAGCAAGACTCTGTCCGGGGGAAGAAAAAAAAAGGTGGTTTTAGCAACTATCACTGATGTTACTGTATTGGAGCAATGGTGGTGATGGTGATTGGTTCTGTGCTGCTTACTTACAGAAATGTACAGGAATGGACATCTGGACACTTTGGACTGTGGCATGGCCTACAGAATTGATAACTGACCATTGACCAAACCATAACTATATTTAGGGGTTTTACATTATTTCTTTTGAGTATTCAACTGACACATTTCCTTCAGACAAAATCTTGAATGACATAGCTCCTCCATAGTCTTTGGATAAAGGGAAGGTGGGTATAGGAAAGTATTTTGAGTTCCTAAAATATCATGACCTAGTATAGTGGAAAGTAACCATTGGTATCCCAGCTAACTTTTATTGTATATCCATTTTCACTCAGCTTAGTAAAATTTTTTTTAAAACTAAGGAATTGAGGGCCCAGGGAGCAAAGGATCAAGCAAACTGAATTCGGACAATTTAACTGGAGTGTGAACAGATCTAGTTGAAATGTCCCCACCCTCAGCCTCTCCCCATACCTGTCATTCTCCTTCCCCCAAAACAAGTAATTATAAATTTTGATATTCTACTATTTAATAATACTGTTGGTGAGCACTATTACATTACCAGTGTCATTAATAGAACTAGGATAAACCTAATATAAAATCTTTCAAAGTATTTGGGGAAAATCTCCATGTTGGGAGATGAATGAGTGATCATACATTTTTATTTAAACTTTAAACATACTGTCCACATAGGAACTGCATATAGGAATATAGTTGTACACTTAGGAATTTTCTTTAAAGAAGTCTCAAGAAAGATATTGTCATTCTCATTTTCAATTTTTTAAATTAACCTTTTATTTTGGAATAACCTTAGATTTACAGAAGAGTTGCAAAGATAGTACAAAGCATTTCTGTAAACCCCTCACCCGTTTCTCAACCTAAGTTATTTTATTATTATTCTTTTTAAAGAAAGGAGCCTAGGAACACATGACTACTAAATGTATGGTATCCTGGATGAGATCCTGGAACAGAAAAATTGCATTAAACAAAAACTAAGAAAATCGCAATGAAATAGGGACTTCAGTTAATCATTTGTGACAAATGTGCTACACTAATGTAAGATGTCTATAATAGGGGAAGTTGGATG